AATCATGTAAACAGTCAGATAATAAAAACTTATACGACTACTAAATTTTTCTGAGTTGTGGGTTTTCTTCGTCCAACTGTTGATCTCAGCCAAATAATCTTATTCTGTTCTTGCAAACGACGTGATGATCGAATATAATGAAAACAAACTAAACAAACCTAATGCGAAACTGCTCTGCCTCATTGCGCCTTACTGCTATTTTCATCATTTGTTTCAGGTTCTAATGCTTTTTTAAAAGCTACCTCAATTGTAAAAACTATCAGTAATAGTAATTTCAGTTCACTTCAAGTCGCTGAAATTTATTGGTTCTTCTATTTTAAATCTCATTTTAGGAAGCTGTAGCTCTTCGACGTTGGCCATCTGAACCTAATTGCATAGCACTTGCAACTCATCATTGTGTACTTTTGTTCGATATTCGATGTTCTACAGTCAAGGTTGGAGCTGCAGCACGCTGTATACTTCCTCCCTTAGATGTATCAGGTGTCCGGTCTTTGAACTTTGCTGAATCAGTTTTGTCTTATGGTACTTCCAGTGGTCAAGTGCACTTTTATGACCTTAGAAGTGATCATCATCTGCCAATACAGTTGGACGTTGGTCCTGGTTGGTTGAAACCACAAACATGTGATGAATTCGAGATACCGTCTGTTGTGTCCTCTTCAGTTGCCCCTATTTCCAGACCGGTTTCACAACCTCAAGCAATAGTTCAAAGTTCTTCTAACTGGAATGCACCTTCTCCGCCACCTTCCCCTGCACATCCAGCTCTTTTGACACGGTCTCTAAATACTGTTCGTTCATCACAACTTAGGGCTGAAGTTGTTAACAATATACGTGTTCGTTTAGACAGAATCCAACATCGTTTGTCAAGTTTACGTAGTCGGCGTGGCATGGCAGTGGCTGGAGCTTTAAACACCCACCCATTTGTCGAGGCGTCGGTGTCTGACAGGTCGAGTTACGCTAATATTCGAAGTGATACATATCAACAAAATACCACTACGGAGGATGGTAATGATTCTTCATTATCTGAATCATACTTCCCAGTCGATGACCTCCAGTCAACCACAAATAATGAGACTGCGACGGTGGATTCTCTGGATGGTAATAATCAAAGTTCAAGTGAAGCAAATGAAGTTGATACACCTTCTACACATGTAGTAATGCCTTTTGGTTTACCACGTTTACAAATCCGTGATCCACATTTAGGACCTATTTTTTTAGGAATGAATTATTTTGGCAATATTCATTCTGATTTTGTATCTTTTCCTACATTTTTCAACCAACGTCGAATGCTGGCTGTTTATACACATGAATACGACCCTTCAGGTACACGTTTGTTCACAGCAGGTGGTCCAATCGCTTCCACATTTCATGGGAATGTCGCTGCCTTATGGGAGTAAAGCTTGTATTTTACTAGTACTACTATTTGTTTTATTTCACCAGCGGTCTTTCTATGTGTTTGCGTATGCGTGTTGGCACATTACTTACTGACCATTAGAATATCTATTCACATAATGTATTTACTTTTCTTATTGTCAAAATTTTTTTTCCTACTTGTTTCTTCAGTGTTAATGTATCTATTTGCTTATTTTCTCCTTGACATGCTCACTATATATGTTCTTCACTTTCCTTATCTATGTAGACTGTTTCATCATTACTTGGATGCTTTATGCTGTTCATACTGTAGCTTCACTTCTGTGATTTCATTTCAGCATCTTTTTATCTATGTTCAGAAGTTAATTTCTTGTTTATACTAGTCCTAGGTTAATAATAGTCGAGTTGTTTATAACCATATTTACATTCAAAATAATTATAACATCTATAGATAATTATCAATCGAATTCAGATATTCACTCATTACTGATTACATTTAATGTTCGCACTATAAGAACATGTACTTTATTTTCCAAGGCTTCCTTATATACAACAAAATTTCCCTGTATAATCTGTACATATTACTTTCTGATTAATACCAAATAAATTGTATTTTTCTTGTGTTCATTTTGTGGTATTTTCGTTTATTTGCAAATTGTTTTCCGTTGGATTTAGGTTTTCATCTTAGTTTGTGATTTTTATCTGTTAATTTGAGTTCCTGATTAAACTAACATTACCATTTATCCATGCAGTTAAATCAGTTCTGATTTTCGGAGGTGTTGATATATAAGTAACGTAGTCGTTGTGCACTGAACTAATTATTTCTAGTTTTAATTAGTGTAATTAAGTAAAAGCGCTCCCGTACATACCATATTGGTAAAACTTGTATCTTACGGCTGAGGAATGTAGTCGTCAGTTATAAGTCAATTCAATATGGTACTGCGCAGTTGTATGAACAGTATAAGTCAGTGGAGCTTCTCAACTGCGAAGGCGAGGGCCTTTATTGTTCGGGATAATTAGAGGTTATATCACTCATTTCTGAGTCACTATTTGGAATGCGAACACGGATCAAACCTAATCAAAATCAATCCATTAGAATTAATGTATATGTACTATTTAGGAACTAAAATGTGCCTGGACTTGATGATTAAAGACATTTAATTAAATATTATAAATTACGGTGCAGTAATAAAAATCGGTTTATGGTTCCCATCATTGCAAATTAAACAACTTTGTGCCTTAATATTACTTCTACTTGCCTTTCGTAGTTTGCTTAAAAATGATTACTAATTCATTGTACTTGTACAAGACTGGTTCTAAATGGATTACTTCGATTATTTTGCCGAATTTCGCATTCTAGTTGGGTTATATTTGTGAGCAGTTTTTAGGTTAAACACTTTCTACCGATATAATAAAGTGTTTTGTCAAAGGTTCACTGTAAAACATATGATTGGAAGATGTTTGGTTTGTTAAACATATATTACACTTCGTATCTCTTTTAGCAAAATAAATTGCTTCTGGGTAATGAGTAGTCACAAAAGGAAACTAATTTCCATTTTTTTAAAGCACTCACTGAAGTTTCAAAGAAATTCCATGTTGAGTATTGTGAAGGGATAAGCAATCAGTGTGAAATACATGTATTTTTGAATAAAAAATAAGTTGGTGTAATTATTGTGTTTCACGTTGCATGATATTCAATTAGCTCTTTTTCTATTGATTTTGCAAAATATGTTAACTGTTAGCTTGCTATAATGATAGTAATTCGGTAGTGATAGATTCTAGCAAATATTAGTAAAAAAAAGCTAATACTCATGCTAGTCATCATAGTAACAACTACTTTTACTCACTGTTGTTAGATTCTTAACTTCAAATCAAAATTGTGAAGTTTGACATCAGTTTGAACTAAAAAAGTGTAATCATTAAAGTCGGTTCAAACATGTTTTGTCTTGTAACTTGATAATCTAGCCTTTCACTTCATAGAATTCTTCCAGGATTATAGACAAGCCACATACCGCTTCTTTTACTTTTCTTATCACAAAACATGTTATACTACTTAAAATCGGTAGATTGTTTTTAATGGGTATTTGCAGGTACATAAATCGAGGCCAATTTTTGAATTAGATTTCAGTGAAAACTGACTATGAGGATGTATTGATATAGGTTTATTTAATCTGTTCTGGATGTTTGATAATAATCTAGAAGTATTTCTAGACAACTTAAACTATTTACTTGTCAGCAGTATTTTAGATGAACATATTCTCTTGGAATGTTAAACACAACGAGACCCCAGAAATCGCGCTTACGAATCCAGTATTAGCGTTGTAGTGATCTCAATTCACTGTGATAGCTAGAATAAGGAGGAGATTAACGAAATCATGGATTGTTACACATTTCAAATTGTAAGGCAAATTTAATTTCATGATCGCTCAAAAAACTATAATTAACGAAGTAGAATGGTTTCACTAGAGGAAATCAGTGGTTAGAGAATTTTAGTGGTACAAATCGAGGTGTCTCTCGTATATTATGATTTGGTTTTACGAGTTTTTGATTCCATTTTTATCTTTTTATCCTTGTTCGTATTTTTATTGAGTGATGATTGTTCATTACCGTGGATGTTTTGTGATACTCCTGTCGTTAAATGAAGCAAATTTTTGTGTAAGAGCACTTGTTACCTACACTAATTTGGTTACCTTTCTGTTTATTGATTTCATTTTAAGTGAACTGATCCCCCCTATAAGATCATTTTCCTCCTGACTACTTTCAACCCTCCTAACTCCAAAATGGAGTGTACATATAGTCGAGTCACTCAAACTGGTGACCACGTTGCAAGTTGATCGACTGAAAACAGTCAACTCTAAGGAATGGACAAATTATATTTACCACTAATCAACGTATATTTCCAATTTAACAATAAAACCTACAAATAGACGGAAGGAACGTCAATTGGATCACCAATATAGGGACTTATTACATAAGCATTGATACAGAGATTGTAAGCCTCGATTTTACTAGTGATTCGCAGATTCGTTGTTTGGACGACTCATTCGTCATCAAAAAAGATGAGCTGAAAAACACCTACAATTTGGTCAACATCTTCGATAAATGAACATCTTTCAAAAGAACGGCTATCCACAAATACTCGTCAAAAGATATCAATCCAAATCCTCAGCAATAGTGAAATCAAATACAGAAACCAACAGACAGATTATTTTATCATATATAAAAAGCATCAGAAATTACGAGATTATTAAAGCCGTTTAGAATTGGTATAGCACATAAACCAGAAAATCACCCCAATCAGTCTTATACTAACCAAAGAATGAAATAAAAGAACTGAACATCATCTGCAATATAAACTGTTCCGATTGTGAGAAACACTACATCGGAGCTACACCATACAACATTTTTACTGCTGTATAAACCTTATTGTACATTTATAGGTATCAATGCCAAGGTTGGACTTGTTGGTTTCAAATAAATTGAGCATTGAGTGTAGGGTTAATAATAAATATATATTCACTATTATACATTAGTCGAGTTTTGTTGACTTGGAAATGAAATTCCGTTATGATACCGTATATAATTATTTTTCTTGTTAAGTGATTAGAAGAAATCTACAAAACACCCTGAACGTAGATTGTAAACTTCTAAGGATTGATTTAAAAGGTTTTGCGAAGTGTATTATGGACGTGAATCAAATAAATGCTTTGAAATATCACCTTTCATACTAGGTTTCTTGGCTAATATTAATTCAGTTAAGGTTAGTTAGCACTGACATGAGAAACGCCATCATTTGATTTAGATCTTGCAATTGAAAATTTAATAATAGTAATATAAATTTTCATGCTTTTCATTTATTAGTGATTATTTTTTAAAGAAAATGGCCGATTATAATAGACCACCACCAATCAGATCTATGCCGCCAATGCTTCGTTCATCACCATTTCTAGGAGGTAGATCACTGCCATCGTTACCTGAACATAAACATTCTTCATGGAATACTCAATCATTACAAGTAATGCCTGTATATAGACCAACAGTGTCAACATCAACTGGTGAGCAAATAGTTGCACCGGTTCTAAATCATCAGTCATTGCTTCCCTTGCAGCCAATATTACCATCCTGTTGGTCGAATGCTGGACGTTTCCCACCTATTCACTATCCTCCTCCTGCTCCTCTCGATTATTTGTCTATCCCACAACAAAATCAAATCCCAACTTATGAAATTATAAAATCTACTGTTAATTTTGAGTCAATTTTAAATTCATGGTTAAGTTATTATGAACCAATATTTACCGAACGAAGACAATGTAAAGAACAGAATAATATACAACTACCGATGTTTAGAAATATGTTGGTTAAATGGTCAGAATTAATTCAGAAAATGCAATCAACTTGTAAACAAAATGAAATGTCTTCTTCATTATCATTACAGGTAAGGTGTCTTTTATTTTCAGCTGTATATATTTTTTGGATCGATTACCTTGATCTCTTTCTAGTTGATTATGAGTCAACAAATACTTGGTAATAGTGAAGATTGGGTAGTGTCTTAATGACCACAGCAAAGAAGCTTAGACTTATGCACACAACTCAAATCATTAAGTTTTGACTTTATGAACTGATTTCATATCTTTTTCTAATCATATTTATTCTTTTGACAGTCTACTTCTCTAGCCAACATCCTTTGTTGAGGTTGAAAGTCAATATGCAACTCGGTGGATGATTGTTTACAAGCTCACTAACATTTTTATCTCCTTTCTAAGCTATTGGATACAAGAGGAATACTTCGAAAATACTCATGGAGTATAATATACTTAGTATCTTTACTGTCATATCCCCTGACCTACTTAGAAATAAGTATTTATAACTTATCTGAATGTGCAACATGGAATTTTCATGTACTACATGAAACCTACTAGCTATCCATTTATTGTACTTGTGACGAGAATGCTGATTTCTTTGGCATTTTACATTTTCTCAATACATGCCATCCTTCCATAAATTGGACGTTAAAAAATGAGATTGATCATTCAATCTCTTTTTTCTATGTGTGTCTGATAAGGAGTAGTGGATCCTTAAAAAGGTCCATTTACAGAAGGACATTGAACAGCCAACTGATAAACTCCTATAGCGGGGTTCCACTGAGCAGAAAGAGGGGTCTTATTCACTCTTTGTGTTACCAAATAGATCAAAGATTTAGTGCTGAATACATTGAGGAAGAACTTGTGTTCTTCAGAAAAACTTCGGCTGGAAATGGCTATCCAAGCTGCTTCGTAGGGAAGAGCATGAAAAGAAGTTGAAACAAGGAATCTGATAACTCCGTTTCAAAGAGGAATCTTTATATGAATCTAGAATTTAAGAGTGACCAAATTTCTGATCCAATCAAAAGTCGGTTAACGGCAGCGATAAAAAGAACGTTCCGTTCGGAAAATTTGCAACTGACGTTCATTAGTATAAACTTGTTTTTTGTATCCGTAAAGGATGAGCTCCCTAGTCTGGTCGCCTCTGTATGCTTCTACCAGTTCACCTGCCCTTATGAACCATGGTACGTGGACTGTAGCCTGCTCTTGTTTTCATCTCGGATACGAGAACATGTTTCACTGTGGTTCTACAAGGGTGAGAGGGAAGCAGTTAGAAGTTCTGTTCTTAAATTCTAATCACTCCACTGATTCAGATTTTGTTTATACATTCTGTCCAGATCAACCTAGGTTTCTTCCTATCCAATTCCTTAAAACAATAAACTTTCTGTCCATGAACTGAAGCCAGAACTGTGCGTACAAAAGAAGTACATTTTATTATATTTTGAATTTGAAAGTATCCCTCTCTCTAATTATTTTTTTCATATACACGTGATTCTATTCATTGTTGTTTCTGATATCATTCCATTTCATTTAACCCCTCTATGACCAATTATCTTAACAAAAACCTTTTAATTATCTTACCCTATTCACACTATGATCCACTGCGAATTTATAAATTATACAAGGCTTTTTATTTGCACATAGACAATCTTTTATTGTTATTATTTACGTTACGTAATCTTGTATTATGACCTTCCTATTACATCACCATGTTTATATCTTACGAAAAATTCCCATATATATACGATAGTACAGCTTGATAATAAATTCGCTGGGAAGAAGTTCCTTCACTGAACTTCGTGTTTTTAAGGTTCAATTAGGAACTATATGTCTATGATAGAATATAGTCACTTCAATGTTAAAGCGAAACACTAATCCTACTGATGCACACGGACAAGCTTTGTCAACCATAGTAAGTGTGTATAATAATTTGAAACCCGAATAAATGTAATTGAACCACCAGGGTGAATATTTAGGATGCATTGATTCATACCAACATTACCAGTCAATCAGGGGAAGGATTTTTAATGAATTAGTTGGTATAACACGCTAACGATAATTTTACTAAACCCGTTAACTTCTTTTCGATATCACACTAAATATAGTTAACCCTTTACTAAAAGCTTTTTTTTTAGTAAATTTCCAGGCCCCACAAAATAATTTCTAAGGTCTACCTTTTTATAATTCACTTGTACAAATTTAAATGTAATTTTTTTCCCACCAAATATTACACTATATATTTAATTTTTATTGGTTTTAATGCTGTCGTGTCCCTATTGTATTGTCTTTGGTTGACTATATTGATTCAAAAAGACACAATAAATATCATTATATGCGACAGCCGTACTTCTGTATAAATCTCCTTTTATAGATCAAGTGAATCTCTTACTTAAGGTTTGCCTTCTATGTTTAGATTATCCAAGGCTCGGCAAATGAGAAATGAGTTGTATTTTGTCCATGGTTGTTATCGTGTGGTGGATAGTCATTCTGAATAGTGGAGATGTATCATGTCTGCGAGTATTAAACTTCCTTCACCACATTCATCTAAATATCACTGCTTACGGCTAAACGTCTAACGTTTATTGATTTTCATTAGCATTCAGTTGTAAATTACTGTCTCTTACACTGTTTCTCAGTGGGAAAAAGTTGATATTCCTAATACATCAGTATAATTTATCTACATTGTAATCTGATAACATTTAGACCAATTCCTTTCAATGTACACTATCAATACACTATCATCTTCAAATGAAGTACGAAATTTTTTCCGAAATTGTTGTGGAAATTAAAACCTGAAAAATCTGCGCCAACTGTATCTTAGTTATTATTGAGAAAGTAACCGTGATCTTTCACTGTTTGCTCTTGAATATTAATACTGTGCTTACTAATAAGTAGAAATCGATAATTATCAAACTGATTAAAATTTTACTGTTTTCTTAAAACAATAAAATGTTTCAAGTCTATCGCTAGTAAATAGATAGATTAAAATCTTAGCAACGTTGTTGATATGGGTTTTTTTAAGTTGTGTTTGGTGGTTAAAGTTTGTTAAATAAAAGAAATAGTTTGTTAGAAATAATAGATAACTTGACCTGATGATAATAGATGGATTAAACTAATTATGATTGAACATATGTGTTTGTTATAGAATGTGTCAGACGTGTTCATCATATCCTCATTATTTTCATCTCAATAGTTTTTAATTCATGTGGCTTAAACTGATCCAATATTCCAGTTTCTCGATTATTTCAAGCAAATTCTTAACTTATCCAGTGCTACTAGATATGTTTTACAGTGATATCGTTTGGTGAATTTATTCCAGCGTGTGAAATGGTTTTGAGTTCTGATGTTTATTTAACGCTATAATATTTGGAAACTCTTCTGGGTACCACCCTTCTAGAGTAAGTGGTTATTTCAAGTTCGGGTAAAGGGGGATGGTTGGGTATAGTATTAATAACTGTACCTAACAGTTAACATATATTAACTTGACTGATTTTTGTAGCTTATTTTGTAATTTTGTTTTGTTATCCAGAATGAACTGAATACTGTTCAACAATACTGTACAAATCCACATATTGTCAATTTAGTGAAAAAGAAACTTCGTTTAATCCACAAGAAAAGAGTACGTCAAAAATCTATCATTTTATTATTGTTGTTAAGGATTTTTGTTTGTTAATTTGTAATTTTCATGTAGACTTTATCGTCAATAGTAAATAGCTTATAAGAAATCCTCACCATTGCTTATATCTTAGGAATAATGAATATTTGTAACATAAAATCAAATACAGAAGCGAACAATCAACCAGATTGAAAATTACAAATTATCAATTTCCAGTTTCGTTGCTTCTAGTAATATCACTCTTTAAGTTAGTCAAAAATCTGTATTCTCACCTAACACCATTACATTAATTGTGGTCGTAGTTATCAGTGATCAGGTGAGATTGTTGGCTGATTTTGTAAACTGAAAAGTTCAGATTAACACAGGAGATTTAAATTGTTTATTGTTAAGTTTTCATTTTAAGCCATCTTCGCTCATGACCGAAAAACGAAAAACGCGTTAAAAAATTATAATGATACAGATATATGGAATTCATAATATGGTTATAATCTCTGCTTGAAAGCTTTAGGCAAACTTGGCTTCACATAGGTTATATCCTTTACTTCTCATCGTCTCCATTTTTCTTTTACTTATTTTCTTATTCTGTACTCTGTTTTCACCTGCTCCCTTGTATTGTATTCGATTTTTTTACTGCTGCTAATACCATTAAGTTCATACTTTTGTCTGTCATCTTGTTCACTTCCTTAGGTTGAATTCGTTTAAAGTGTGAGGATTACAACAGTATCATGATATTCCAGTTGTTCTCTCTTTCTTAATCCTTATACCAGAATCTTTGTTGCCATACATAACATATAATCACCACATACTATCTAGAAATGGTTTCCCCATTACATTAACCAATATGGATCTGTGCTTATTATTTTTTTTGTTAAGAATCTCATGTATATAGTTTTATTTAATTTCAATGCGATGTATTAATTGATTTTATACATCAGTTATACCACGAAGAAAGGTTCGATGATGATGGATTTGATTCTCTGTTGCGGGGTGTTGAATGCCTGTTGCAGTTGTTTTTTTGTAAATAGTTATTTCAATGGTTGAGACCATGAGTCAATTGCAGCTAGATCACCATGGAAAACCTGGAAGCAGTGGACAACCGTTTGGTCGCATTGTGGGACTCCTCAGCAGTGCACATCCACGATCCCGCCTTGCGAGATTCGAACCCAGGACCTACCAGTCTCTCGCGTGCGAACACTTAACCACTAGACCACTGAGCCGGCATCCGACGGTGTTAATGCCTAACTTCAACCGATCCACGAAATTGAGCGATACATACACCATTGTTTTCAGTGAGTTACTATCTCACAATAGATCTGGTTGAACTCCACTGCTTCTCACTAGAACTCCAGGAAATACCTCTTGAAGTCAGTCAATTGTGTGTTTATACGTTTTTGACTTCATACATCATTTCCAAATTCAGCAAAGTATATTCAAAAAGTAAATAGCTAAATAAATATTTTCAAATCATATGATGAATGAATTAATAATTAAGCAGAATATTTGACCTATCGACATAATATTGGTACTTATTATTTCTAATCACTACAGTTTAGTATTGCTTATCAGTTATATTAACAAGAGAAGCATATGGTAGTGGTCTGTGGTTCCTAACTTAAGCGATACATTTATACAATACATTGTAGTTTTCAATAAATTCGTTGCTACTGCTGGTCCATGATGAATATAATTGATTTCCTGTTGACCCACCATAATAATTGTTTCCATTACACAGTTTAGAATGCATTTTTAAAAATCCTAATCCTATGACGTTGGCATACAATATACGGCAGAAGTCATTTTGGTTAAATGATGGATATGAAACAGAAATATCAAGAATGTTTAAATCTCAACTTTTAAATTATCTATTTCTCCGTCAATCTTTACAACTCTCTTACAATAATTTTTGATTGAGATCATGAATCAGTTGATGCTGAACCACCATTGAGAACCTGAAAACACTGGACGACCGTTTCGTCCTATTGTGAGGCTCCTCAGTAGTGCCCATTCACGATCTCGCTTGCAGGACAATAAGGCTGTACTTTTAACTAGTGTTACAGAGTTTTAGTTACTATGTTCTGATTTATTCATTTTACAACAAGCAATCTGATATGAAATTTCCATATTTTTATATATATTCTGATTATGATGACAATAACACAGTTGTCAATCGGTTTTTGTTTTAAATATAATCCCTCAAGTGGACATAATAATTTAATGGTTCATTAAAATAGGTCAATAGTTGCTTTTCTTTTGGTAAATAATTAGTCAGTTTGTCATAACGTAGGACCAGGCACATATGTACGTCGGTCCAAGTTGCCATACCTCATTAGCACAATATGATGAACACTAGATTCATAGAAATAGTTAATTCTATGGTGGTAATATATAAAAGAAAAATTGCGCACAAGGACATAGTACGTACAGGAAGAAAGAATTATTTCGTAGAAAGAAGGATATGAAGTGATTTTAATCTTGCCTTCCCCATAGTGTATTTTGTTTGTTTCTTAATCTCCCTATTCTATGAAAAAAATGAATATTAAGCACTTTGCACATACAATACATATCTATGCGATAGGAAATGTCTTTAGAACTAACTAACATCTTTTTTGTTCTTTTCATTGTTGTTGTTCACGTTATTCTTTATGATATATATGATTTGTTGATTGTACGTAGAGTTACATTTCACTGTCATAAGAGTCTTTTCAATAGATAATTATTGTTGCATAGTTATCAATTAATGTGAAGTTTTCTTAGTTAGAAATGGATTTATCTGGAAATGCATCATACTTATTTGCCTGATAATGGATGATTGATATACCATCCAGCTGCTTAGAAAAAAAATTAATGTAAATTAGTATTTTGTGAACTTATATCATTATTATACATTTATATGAGACATAAGTACATTTATCTAAAGATCTTCAAATACAATATTATCACCGGTTACCATGGAACTGCATCTCTTGACGTTGCTCCACTGCCTTGTAGATTAGACCTTTAGGTCAAAGACTCGCGGTGTGGCCCCCTAAGGAAATCACTTGTCTTGATCTAATCACAAAAACGTAGTATATTCATCATCATTTCTGCAATAAATGTGATTCAAGGAAGTTCATTTTACTTTATTTAAACCTGATTAACAATTTTCATTATTATTAGTATAGATTATGAAATTTAAAGAAATGATCAAGAAAATGATAATCGATTTCGGGCTAGTTTCTTTGAGTTTATACAATTCAAAAATTATATAAACATTCACCTATTATAAATATCTTTATGATTAACTACACTTTTCTATCTGACTGGTCAAGTCTTATCAATGTAAAAGTATAGTTCAAAATCATACTTACAAATCATAGACATTTATTCAATTTGTTTAATGAATCTTTGTTAATTGTAATTTATAACTAAACAATGTTTTTATCATTTTTTAGTTTCTTGGCATTTTTTTGGCATCCTTTTTACATATTCTTGAAATTCAAAGCATTTCACTATTCACTTGGTATTGTTTCATTGAATCTTCCTATTGATGTTTAGGACTGCAATTGATCAGTCTGTTATTGGCATATGTGCATACTGTGCGTATGCCTCGATATTACCTTAATTCACAAGCTTTTTGTAAGCAATGATGGATAGTGGCTAGCAGTGGAATCTAGGACGCGCGTTTCGTCCTATTTGGGGCTCGTCAGCTGGATGTACTTACATCTCAGAGTTGATGTTCACTTTGGGATTCGAACCCAGTGACTATCAGGACTCAGTAGCTGAGTGGATAACACGATGGCATTTGAAGCCAATGGTACTGGGTTCGAGTCCAAGAGTGGACATCAACTCTGAGATGCAGGTGCACCCGGTTGACGAGTCCCAAGTAGGACGAAACGCGCGTCAAACTATATTCCACTGCTGGCCACTATCCATCTTTGCATTTCACTATTGTTTCAAGTTCTATTATCTAATAGTTAATTCAATTCACTAGTATTAGTTAATTTTACTTAATAATCTCAATAAAACTGCATCACTATAACTTTTAAAATATTAAATAGTTTAAAATCATCATACACTTTATATATTTATTTTGTTTCATTCAGAGGATCTATAAATTTAGCGCAGAGTATTTTATAAGTGTTGCTTAGTCTCCATAACGCAATAGTTTCACATTCACTAAAGAATTGTATAATATAGTGCTACTTTATATGAAAATAGACTTGTTTAATTTAAAGGTAATGTAGACTAAACAGTCATGATACTGTAACCATTTATAATCCTGGTCTTGTTATCAATGCTTATTATTTGTATTTTATTTGAACACATAAACATTGGTGGACGGCGGCATCAAATAGATATGCGCCACACTTCGTCATTCGATTTGTGTGAGGGTTTGGATGCTGCCTCTGTGCCCAAACCGAAGCCAGTGATTTTATTAGTGGGCCTCTCCCTAAGCCTTTGACCTACAGGTCTAACCCACAAAGCAGTGCAATAACCTCAGGAGATGCAGTCTCATGGTAGCCGCTGACCAACACTTAGTTCATACGCCATTTGTTCCTTCAGGATACTGTAGCCCATGTGCACCATTGGTTTGGAATCAGTGTTTTTCAGCTGCCCTGGGTTGACCTTTCGTATCCATCAATCCGGTTAAAGCGTCGGACGTTCGCTTGCCGTCCTCTTGATTTCGTATTGCGAGAAGGCAGTGAGTAGGACTTTCCTGTCAGTGGCTGTATACGTGTGGTCTTGTGAGAGCATTTGGAGAGGGAGAGCTGACACTCCTCACCCTCGACCGTACCAGGGCGTTTTGGGATACAATATTTAAAGTACTCAACTCCTAACCATTGATTTACACATTGACCAAGCTGCTTCACTTCTTTTTGACCAGTAAGAAAGTATCTTTCGATCTTACATAACGAATGCTTCTTAAAACTGAGTACAACAAATTGGTTGTTTCTAAAAAATAATTATTATTTAACTCGTTGAACGTAAATCCATATTCACTAAACATTAGAGAGATATTAAACATCGTGTTTTTTCTATTCGACTAACCCAGGCTTAGGGGTCATTTGTTACTTAAACATTTTATTACTCAGTCTACATCAGTTGGTATAAAATCAATAACTTGATTTATACTGCGTAGTTACACTAAGTAACTCATATTGAAAACAGATGAAAATACTTATGGGAAAAGTCCATGTATTATGACATGGCAGTAACCATCAACTATACTTTCAGCAATCTATTTTCTATATTACTGAGGGTCATATAAAAACGAGTAACAACTTGAAGACACATACATTTTCCCTACAAGCCATTTTGAAACCTAAAATCAGTTGTTCTTTCAATCTTTCTCGTTTTTTCTTATCATGATTTCTGAATTCTAGTTTAGTGTTAATCAATTTGGAATTTATGTTATGTAACCCTAAGTTAAATAGACAATTTTTTCACCGCCATATTCATTATAATCTACTAATTGACTAAGGTGAAGAAAAATATTTTCATTTATTCTAATCGATTAATTTCTTTTCAGCGTTATCTTAAACGTATACGTGATCGTAGACAAAATTCACAATTACAATCATCAACTTGTTCTGTAATTGTACAATCTACAACTGGTAGTATACTTGAACGAATAAAATCAGATATATCATTGACTATTGAACAATCAGGTGTTCATGATGAACAACAGATCAATGTAGATAACCATACAAACAATATTATTGACAATGAATCAAAACATAAACTGTAAGTAGTTTCTCCTTTTTCTTAAAGAAATTACATTAATTCTTTTGAATTTGATTAACAGCTTCTTCTAATATGCACACATGTTTTACACCATTGAATTTAATGTTTTAATAATAGGATTAGTTATTGAGCGGTATATTCATAATATCTCAGTTATGAAATCGTCAACACTCTTGTAAATATGTTATTTAATATATAACTGAAACTCAATAAGTTGATTGGTAGTGTTAGTCCCTTCTTATTATCGGTTGATTTCTAATTTATTGTTTAGTCTTCCCTTAAAATGGTGATCTTTCCTCTAGAAGAGAGATGTATTTAATCGATTGCTCCCAGTTAAATAAATAGATTAGTATTATTGTGGTGTGTGCTACTAATGTTGACAGATATAAGTAGTATGTTATTATAGCGACTCACGTGCTAATGGGTTTATTTTCATTTAACCCAGTTAAGCCCTTTTTGTTAACTTATTTAGTGGACAAAGTCATCCATGATATAACAACTTGTTGTACTATCTTTATTATTATGCTTGTATGAAATACATATGCTTGAACATTGTTTAGCGCCTACGCATGTATTCATTCTGCTAGCTTCATTATTAACTGCTTAATCTATTCGCTGACTCATCCATTTTCCTATACATATATATATGTGTACATTTGCACCCATTTACTACAACAACTACTACTACTACAACTACTTGCTACTGCTACAATCGTAGTTCGCTTGCTCATTCATTTTGCCTCTCTGCTGTCTGGTCCGAATTATCTACTAAATAAACTGTAGTAGCTGCTTCTTTTTGCCTTCTGATTTCAAACATCGTTGAAGATTATACGATAACGGTTCGAGGGTGATTAATTATCGAAGCACAGCCACTACAGAATTGGTAATCCCGACGTGAGAACGGGAAGCGAATTTTGACGAAATAATCAAATTCCAAAAATCCGATTCTTTTCATCTCAATTTGGATTATCAAATGAACTATAATTGCAACTGTGGATTTATATTATTATTCTAATTACACTTACATTATTTCGCAAACATTATTAAACGTGACGATTATAATCATAATAAATAACTATTATCCATAAACAATTGATATATTGGTGCAATTTAGTAAGTCTGTTCCATTTTATAAATTGTGCCATTTTTTTATTATCATTGTTTTTGCCCACCTATTTTTCCTTGTGACTGTTAAGTTATTTTCGTGTGCTACTTAATTTTTATAAGCATGTCTTATGAAAACACAGTTTCAAGCGTCCAGCAAGCCTCGTCCGTGAGGTCTCTTAACCTCCCTGCCCCTTCTTTTAAAATCTTAGACCCAAAACTCTGGTTTATAAGACTTGAAAATTATTTTCTCGCTAACCGCATTTTTTTGCAAAAGGATAAGTTCGGCCTGACAAGCACACTACTCCCAGACGAAGTAGCTGACAGCGTTCGAGAGGCACTAGCAAAACCAGACACAGAGAAACCATACGACGTGCTAAAAGAGGCAGTAATCAAAACTCTCTCTCTCAGTGACCAACAAGCCGTCGAACAACTCCTTAGCCAAGTACAAATTGGAGATAGAACCCCATCACAGCTAAAAAATTATATGAAAAGTCTACTTGGCGATAGACACATTGACAATAATCTCTTTTATCAACTGTGGCTCCGCCGACTCCCGGCAAAAATACAGCAGATCCTAGCTGTGGGAGATACGGATGCGGATTTAGACAATATAGCAAAGATAGCCGATAGAATATACGAAAGAAGCAAGCAAGCAAGCCCTCCACTACACAACGTGACAGTAGATGATAGACTTGATACTCTACAGAAGGAAATAAATGTTTTATGCCGCAAACTCACAGAATTAACGCAGAGAGAAAAACCACGAAGGTCATCGCGAGATCGCTCGCGTGAAAGGACCCGGTCAACTTCTAGACGACGCACAACTCCCGCGATATGTTGGTATCACCAAATGTTCGGCTACAGGGCTAGAAAGTGCCTACAACCTTGTAGATTTAACAGGGCTAGTAACCGATACCCACGAGTATCAATGGCAACGGCATCAACACACATAATGCCTGAAAATAGTCGCCTCTTTTATATACAAGACCGAACCACTGGCGCACAATTCTTAGTTGACACTGGAGCGGAAATTAGCGTAGTACCTCCATTTAACGAGGAAAGAAAAAACATTAATCCGTCATTAGTGTTAAGAGCAGCAAACAAATCAGATATTAAAACATATGGCAAACGGCAATTGTCCCTAGATTTTGGACGTGGCGCTTCATACCGCTGGAACTTTGTCATAGCAGACGTATCGATGCCCATAATAGGCATAGATTTCTTATCTAACTTTGACCTGCTGGTAGACTCTAGACGACACAGACTTATAAACGGCAGTCAAACCACTTCGATAAGAGGAATACTTACGGAAGCCGTTTCAATGAACCTTGTGATAGATAAAAGTCGTGGTGATCCATATAAATTGTTGTTAAGGGAGTTTCCTGAACTCGTAAAAGTAACATACAATAAAGCGGATCTCAAACATTCTATTCAGCATCACATCGTAACGAATGGTCCACCAATCAATGCAAGACCAAGAAGGTTAGATCCCAAAAGACTAGCCATCGCAAAACAGGAATTCGACAAGCTAATGAGGCTAGGCATTATAAGGCCATCGAACAGCCCGTGGGCATCCCCGCTACATATGGCCCCGAAAAAGAATGGAGAGGTTAGGCCATGTGGAGACTACAGAGCACTGAACAAACAAACAGTAGCTGATAGATACCCTATACCGCACATCCATGATTTCACCTACAGTATTGAGGGCACTACTATCTTCTCGAAGATCGACTTAGTCAGAGCATACTACCACATCCCTGTTGCCCCACAAGACATACCGAAGACAGCAGTAACAACCCCATTTGGGCTATATGAATTCCTGCGTATGCCTTTTGGACTGACTAACGCGGCACAAACCTTTCAACGGTTTATCGACCAGGTCATTAGAGGTTTACCTGGAGTATACGCGTATATCGACGATTTATTAGTAGCTAGCACCACTAAAGATGAGCATATACAACAACTACGGCAATTATTTATACGACTCAGAGAACATGGTATTTCTATAAATATTGAGAAGTGTGAATTCGGAAAAGAATCTTTACAGTTCCTAGGTCACAATATAACTTCTCAAGGCATCACACCAATAGCAACAGAAGTCGATGCCATTAGGAATTATCCCCTACCTGACTCATGGAAAAAGTTACGCCGATTTCTCGGGTTAATAAATTATTACAGACGATTTATCCCGAATTGCGCGTCAATATTGCAACCACTAACAGATGCATTACGCGGAAACGCACGGACATTCCAATTATCACCAGACGCGATTCAAGCATTCGAGAACGCTAAAAAAGCACTAAATAAAGAAGTGACACTAACTAGACGAAAGAGCGAAACACCGTTAGCTATCATGACAGATGCATCAGACGTAGCGGTAGGAGCCGTTTTACAACAATTAGTAAATGGCATATGGGAACCGCTCTCATTTTTTTCGAAAAGACTGAATCCGACACAAACAAGATATAGTACTTTCGGAAGAGAACTCCTAGCGATTTACTTGGCAATAAAACATTTCCGACATATGATTGAGGGTACCATTTTCACAGTATATACAGACCATAAACCCCTCACAAAAGCATTGAACTCCAAACAGGACAACTACTCGCCGAGGGAAATCCGACAATTAGAATTTATTTCCCAATTCACGTCCAACATACAGTATATCAAAGGCAATAGTAACGAAGTAGCAGACGCATTATCCAGAACGATGGTCAACGCTCTCATCCAGTCTGAAATCGATTATCACAAGTTAGCAGCACTACAAAATATCGACGTCGAGTTAAACAGACTAAAGTCTGCCAATACAACCTCGTTAGTTCTCAAAGAAACTCCATTGGAAGAAGTAAGCATCACGTGCGATATTTCTACAGGTCAACCAAGACCATTTATTCCAAAGCCGCTAAGGCGAAACATTTTCGAAGCCATGCATAGTATTTCGCATCCCGGAATAAAGGCTACCATCAAACTAATCAGCGAACGTTTCGTATGGCCAAGTATGAATCGGGATATTCGTAATTGGACGCAGGCGTGTATAAAATGCCAGAGAGTTAAGATACATCGCCACACCAGTTCCGCAGTAGGTCATTTCCGTCATCCAGATAACAGATTCGAGCACGTACATATCGATATTATAGGACCACTGCCGGTTTCGAATGGCTTTAGTTACATTTTCACTTGCATTGATAGATTCACACGATGGCCTGTAGCTGTGCCCATAAAAGATATTACAGCTGAAACTATCGCAAAAACCCTAGTAGAGCATTGGATTTCCCATTATGGTGTACCTACTAATATTACAACCGATAGAGGAGCTCAATTCGAGAGCCGCCTCTTCCAACAACTCACAGAACTACTCGGAATCAAACGAATTCGCACAACATCCTACCATCCGATGTCGAATGGTATGGTAGAGAGATTGCATCGGCAACTTAAAGCTTCTCTTACAGCTGTCATCAGCAATAACGATTGGGCCAGCAAGCTACCGTTAGTCATGTTGAGCTTAAGATCAACAATCAAACAAGATATAGAATGCTGCCCAGCAGAATTGGTTTATGGAACCACACTACGTCTGCCAGGAGAGTTTTTCACCGCAGGTAAAAATGTTCCAACTGATATAGCGGACTATGTACAGCGTCTTAAGCAGCATATGAGTGGTCTAAGGATAACGCTTCCAAGACAACATCAACGCCGTGTCTACATACCCAAACAACTAAGTGACAGTACCCATGTGTTTATAAGAAGGGATAATGTGCAACGTCCCTTACAACCGGCGTACGATGGTCCATTTAAGGTGATTAAAAGAGACGACAAAACTATTACGGTAGACAAAGCTGGAAAAACGGATGTAATTAGCATCGACCGAGTCAAACCAGCTTTCATCGAAGCCTACG